AAAAAGCAATTTATTGTTTATTGTCGATTTACTACTGCGAGTTGATGAAAAAAAAAGAAACGAAAAGAAAAAGAAAAAGAAAAAGAAAAAGAAAAAAAAAAGAACTTTTACTCTGTGAAATAAATAATCATTAGAAGTAAAAACAAGTTAATACAAGGTTAAATCAGCCAAATTGATGTCATATTCTGATAATCAAAATCTTGAATTAATCTCATTGATATGGCTTGATAATATGGCTGATGCTACTCAAGAAAATCGAGAAATTCAAGATAAACTTCGTTCTATTGTTAATTATCTTCGAACATTTGATAATTGTAAACAATGTGAAGATTATATTCGAAATATAATTAATGATAAATATGATAAAATTATTTTAATTGTTAGTGGTAAATTAGGTCAAGAAATAATTGAACATATTCATCATTTAAAACAAGTCATATCAATATTTGTTTATTGTATTGATAAAAATAAAAATGAATTATGGGCTAAGAAATATAAAAAGGTTTTTCATATTATTATTATTATTATTATTATTATTAATTTATTTTTATTTTTATTTAGGTCCGATCTGTTATTGTTCAAATAAATGATTTATTCGAACAAATTGATCTTGATCGTAAAAGTGAAGAACAAAAATTAAATCAATCAATTGAATTATTAATAAATAAAGATGAAATAATTCCATTAATTTTACAAATTGATTCATCATTAATTGATAAAAAATATTTATTAAATATTTGTTCAAAATTCTATGAAAATAATATAACTGAACTTGAAAATATTCGAGAATTTGAACATTTATATTCATCAACAAATTCATTAGATTGGTTTTTTAATGAAACATTTCTTTATCGTTTATTAATCAAAAGTCTTCAAATATTTAATATTGAAATTATTTTTCTATTAAGATTTTTTCTTCAAGATATTAATCAACAATTAATTTATTGTTCAACTGTATATGAACGAGTTTATCATGGACAATTAATGACAATTGATCAAATTAATTTAATTAATCAATCAATAAATGATAAATATATTAGATTTAATTCATTTATTATTGCTAATAGAAATAAAGAACAAGTTATCAATTCTTTACTAAATAGTTCAAATACAAATGATTTACATCGAGTTTTATTTGATATTGATTCTAATCAAATAGGAAAACAATATAAAGAATATATTATATTTCCAATCACAACTTATTTTCGTATTATTTCGGTTAATTTTGAAAAACAAATTTGGATTGTCAAAATAATTGTTTTTAATTCTAATAAATCTAATGAAAATGAAAATAAAAATAAAAATCCTTTTCAATTAGCTCATCTTCTTCGGCATATTGGTCAATTAGATCAATCAGAAAAATTATTTTATCTTTTATTAAATCAATATCCATCAATGAATTCTCAATGTTATGATGGACTTGGCAGAATTGCACAAGATAAAGGTTTATATGATATTAGTCTAAATTTTTATTTGAAATCTCTTCAAACAGTTTCATTAAAAAATCGTGCTCATTGTTTAAATAATATTGGATGTGCTTATGATTATTTAGAACAATATGAATATGCTCTTCAATACTATTCCCAAGCATTAACATTAATGAAAAATGATATTTATCAAGCAATGTGTCTTTCCAATATGGGTATAACATATGCTAAAAATGAACAATATCAACAAGCACTTGAATGTTTTCAACATTCGTTATCTATTAGAGAAAAAAGTCTATCTGATAATCATCCTGATATAGGAATATCTCATACAAATATTGGTGTTGTTTATTCATCTATTGGTCAATTAGATCTTGCACTTAAACATTTTAATTTAGCATTAAAATCATTTTCATCAAATAATTCCGATATAAATCAAGCAATTGTTTATCAAAATATGGCAAAAATCTTTCAAGAAAAAAATCAATTTGATCAAGCACTTCAGTTTTATAAAAATTCCGAATATATTTTTCAATTATTTCGACCTGTTAATCATCCAAACCTTGTTTATATACAACAACAAATTAATCAACTAAAACAACAAAATTAAATTTGTCTTTAACATTTTCAAAATGTGTGAAGTTTTTTTTCATTATATATATTACTTTGTGTCAAAGCAGAACAATGTTTTCAAATTTTTGAATGTCTTTTATTGGAGTTTTTTTTTTCAAAATGAAATTCTTTTCAATAAATATTGAATAAAATAATCATAAAGAAATAAACAAAATTTTAAAATGAATATTATATTAAAATAGTTATTTATTACAATTAACATCTTTTTATTTTTAATATTCGAATATTTTTCACATCTTTATTTATTTTAATTTGACAAGATAATTATTCGAAGTTAGTTATTTTTAAAGATATGTTATTTATCTCATGACCGATCATTTTTTTCTTTACCATTTATTCAGATTTTTTTATTTGGTAGAATAATAATATTAAAAAAACGATGTTTATTTTTTTTTATTTAGATGATAACAATAATAACAAATAAAAATAATTCTAGAATCCGTTTATTTAAAACTAACAATTATTTCATATGTATCCTTTTAGTTTTCTTTTTTAATCCTTTTTCTTTCTTTCTTTCTCACAAAAATCAAATATTCGATTTCATGGAAAGAAACAAATTCATTCACTTCGAATATATAAAAAGAATTTTCAATTCAATATGGAATAATTGATTTTCCATTTGTTCTTCCAAATATTGACATACCCACGTTGAATTTACTCGAATACCAACTGATTTCATTTTAATGTTATACGCACATAATGTCAAAAAAAAACCACGCCTCTCAAGATATGCTCTAGTACAAACTACTACAATATGCTGTTGACGTTAGCCGTTCATTATCACTAGTTGTTTATCTGATAAACTATCTCAAAGTACATATTAACACTTGTTCTCCAGCTGTACGTTCATGGAAGCCTTGTACAATCCGCCAGTAACAACAATCAACCACAGCGATGCTGCAGAAAAAAGAGCGTTACTTCAGGAACGATAAGTTTTCAGCTAATTGATATTTTATCAAAGTTTCAATTCTAATGAGAAAAGAAATCACGCCGAAACGCACGGAAGGTTCCAGTAAGATTCTTTTGTTTGTCAATACGGAAGTATCAGCAGAATGTAACATATATAGAAACACTTCGCTTCCAAAATACTGTTGTGCGACATAAAAATCATTGTTAAAACAAAAAAAATTTTCTTAAAAATATTTATGAATGTTTTATAGGCAATACATTATCTCAAACATTTTGAGAATAGGAGATGAAAAGAAAATAAAAACCATTCAAATTAACTACTATTCTGTTTATTCTTCTCAGAATCAAATCTCGGCGAGAACCATTATACTATTATCACGAAATAATGATAATGTTGTATATTGTTTCTATTTTATCAAACTGAGATGCGTGCAAACATCATGTAGTCAACAAGTAGTACTCCGAAAGGTTAATTTGTTTTATTTTACTGAATTATTTTAAATGTTCTTTTTTACCAAATAAATAACTACATACAGGACGAGAATCTTTTAAAATCAATTGACATTTATTATCTCTAAATAAGTACATTATTTCGACCGATGGGAAATAATTACTATGACGACTGAGTAGAAATTTGTTTTTGCAATCATATAAATCATCGAATATTAATCAAGAAAAACTTTTAAATTCTTCAGATTTTGACAGAATTGAGAAAGATGAGTGAGAACATTTCTTTCAAAGTCTCGATTGAGATTTCTTCGAAACAGCTAGGTAACAGTTGCAATTATTCAAGAATTCTGCATTACAAAAAAACCTAAGTGAAAGCAAATATATCTTTTATCCCAAAAGACAAAATATGATCAAGTCAACCAATCCTGATTTTATCATTACAATGTTACACCAATGATTCTTTTAGCAAGTAGAATATTGAAATTTTTGTAATTCAAAGCTGTTGTCGATGCTTCTCTTTGATTTTAGTAACTTTATGAATTAATAATTCTGTTTGTTCAATTTCAATGCATATTTTTTTTTATCAAATTTTACATATTCTCTTTCATAAAAACAAAAAAGTATTACTTTTGTTTTAATTGAGATTCGACACGTCGAATACTTTGGTCAACATTAGCAAGTTTTCCATTATTTGACGCAAAACGAAGTCTATAACATTCAGCCGTTTTTTTGTAATACAAAAGTGCTTTGTGGAGCTCAAGGCTTTGTTCATAGACCAAGGCCATATTCTCCCATGTTGATGCAATAGATGGATGCTGGAATGAAAGAGACTTTTCTTTAATTACAAGTGATTGTTCGAAATATTTCAACGCTTCTTTCAAACGGCCAGTGTATTTGTAGACAACGCCGAGATTATTCAACGATGTGGCCACGTCTGGATGGTCAGCAGGTCGGAATTTTTTACGAATCATCAAGGCCTTACTATGGTATTGAAGTGCTTCCGAGTATCGTTTCTCTTCATTGAAGACGTTACCTATGTTACTGAGACACGTGGCGATGGCCAAGCTCTCTTTACCGAATGCTCTGCTCCAGATTTCCATAGCTTTGTAATAGGATTTGTAAGCTTCTTGATGAATGTTTTGCTTTGCATAGACGTTCCCAATACTATTGTAACTGTCGGCAAGATCAGGATTGTCCGATTTGAGCGTTTGTTTTTTTCGTTTTAATGCTTTTTGATGCCACTTGAGACTTGTTGCATAGTCATCCTTTTCCAATGCAAGATCTCCGAGTTTAGAATACAAAAGAACAACATCCTTGTGATCATGAGGCAGCGTCTCGTACAAATGACGAAGATGTTTCTCGGCTTCGTCGAGTTTATTCATTTGTATTAATCGTGTGGCAAACAAGAGACGTCTCTGTTCGTGACCCTCGACAACATACTCCATTTTCATATGTTCTAAGGTACGTCGTAAGTTGTTTTCATCTTCACTGCACAATCTCATTTTTATCGTCCACAACTTACCGTCGGCGCGGCGAACGTCAAGAACTCGATAGATAGATCCGACTGTCATCAGTACTTCTTTTTCTTCGGGATGAGCACTATGTGAGGTGACCTCAGCGAACGGTTTGACGCCACGAATGCGAGGATCAGCCTCGATTTCGAAGAAAATTTGTTGAAGGTCATCTGCAGGATCGGCAAAATCGAGAGCCTTTTTTGGATCTAGACTCGTTGAGAAAAATGAACGCATCGAAATTAATTTTCCGATTGAATTTGACAATACACTTAATTCATCATCCGATATCGATTGAGATCGGTAAGTGCGAATGGGTGTTGAACATCGATTCTTTTTGATTTCTTCCCAAAGATCGTAGATGAAAAATCGCAGAAGATAAAGAGAGTTGGTGTCTTGTACCCGTAAGGCCTTGTTCAACATTCGATAGAGAAATGATTCCCGTGTATACCACCATAAGGCTTTATCAGGTTTATAATTATTCTTGAATTCACGAACATTATGTAGTTCTTTTTTGTTGTCTTTGTATTTTTTTTTACAAACGGAAATTAGTTCTTCTTTATCTTCTTCAGTACCTTCTATACGAAGAAGAGAATCCATCAAGAGTTGAAATTGAAGATATTGCCCATTGAGACCGATGGACGACCTATCTGCTGCTGAATCATTTTCCAAGAAGGTGATAGAAAATTGTTCTTCAATTTTCTTTCCCTTGACGTGATCTTTTTCAATTCGTCGAGTGAGCTCATCGAGATCTGTAGTTATTAATTTCACCTAAATAGAGTATTCTTAAAGAACTACATCTAGCCATTATTTCTCTTTACTTTTGGATATTGACTAGCCCATTTTTTATTTTTCTTCTTATTCATACAGTAGACATACATGGAACAAACTTGTCGAAGTTTGTAAATTCGAGGTACTATTTCTTGTCCAAAACCACCGCTAACGATGAGGACAATTCGATCAGATTCGTGAGATTTTCGAATGTATTTTTCACACTTTTCAGTATTGTCGAATGTTTTGAGATAATTAATGATTGTACGAAGATCTGATTGAGCTCTAACGTTTTCTTTTGATGTGTTTACTGCTGCATCAAGCCAAATCAGACTGAATGTCTCAAGATTATCGTCAGTTGTTGTCATTTGTGAGTTACTGCAAAAGAATAAACATAGATATTTGCTCGGTGGTTGGATAGCAACAAAGTATTTTACTAAGTTATTCCATTGCCTATGAGGCTCAAACAAGTTCAGAAATGTGAACTTGGATCTTTTGAGAATTCGCAGTTTTTCTATTCTTGAAATAAAGTATATTCTCACATTTCTTGTAAAATCTCCGAAATTATTGTCAAATAGTTGTTACGAGTAATTTCTATCAAATTTTACTTTCTTTAAAACTTCTTTCTATTGCAACACCCTCATATGCTGGGCACCACTAGGATTTTATTCAAGAGTGTCGAATCAGTCGATTGAGATTCTTCATTTGACATGTAAAAACAAAGAGACTGATCGACCGACCAATTCAAATGCAGAATTCTGTCGCTGAATATTAGGTTTCTTTAACATGCAAATTAATCCACGAGTTCTTTAGAGAAAAACTTTGTTACTACGGTTTTACTAAGCTTCACAATGAGAAGATCTCATAATTCTTGAAACTTTTTTTCTAATTAAGCTAGTATCTAACAATATAAAGTTTCTGTAAATTGTTCGATTGACTCACGAATGACGTCTGCAACCTTTGATCAGATGACCATATTATAATGTAATATTATTTGGAAATTTTGCTTTGAATATTCATTGGGATGAAAACAAAGCGCATACAGATCTATGCATAGTATTAACAAAAGCAGTTTCTTACTTTTAATGTTCGTCGATATATTCCAATACAATAATAGCAATAATCAGTGGGTCGATGTGCAGAATAGAATCGATAAATCTTAAATGAATAGATCGATCAAGGCAAATGTTGATAATATAGCAATAAGATTATTTTCAAAACGTAATGATAAAAAGGGCTGTCAATATTTTAAAAAATTTATGTTGAAAAATAAGCCAAATAGTTGACTAGTATTTCGTTACCTAATCCATTATTTAGTGATTTTGTTTCAAATTGT